ATAGCTGAGGTAAGTCTTAACATTAGTTACCATAGTTTCTGATTGACATACCATGCAATGACTGGATATGAACCTCTTATTTCTTTTCATGGCTCCTTGCTAACCCTGGCCCTTCTAAGTCCAAGGCTCCAGCCAAGAAAACTGCAAGAAAACCATGCAAGAAGAAAAGTATCGAGTCAGAGGAGGAGGAAGAAAAGGGTGTCTCAGGTGAAGAAAACAAGGTGGCTGGTTCTAAATTTTGTAAGTCTTGTTCATCAATATGTGTTAATTTGCAGTGACCTTATAACGCTCGTATAAGTCAAATCAGTAGTACTTTGTTTTCTGAAATCACTATATAAAATTTTAGTAAAGAAACAATTTAGCTTTCATATATTGAACATTTCATATTTATTATTTCATTTGCTTTTCATTAAAGTAGTAGCATCTTTGCAATTATCAGATCTCTTTATTCCTGCAGCTGATGAGGTCATTGTTATCAGTTCTGATGCAGGCTGCGATTCTAATAGCATGGTAGGGTTCTTGCAAATTGGGGGTGAAGGGTTGTAATAACTTTTTCATCACTCATCAAAATGCTTCTCACGCAGGATAGGTTTCAGATCGTTAATGTAGTTCTTTCTTCCACAGACCTTCCCAGACATGGACGACAGCAGCCTTAGCCCCTACAATGGGGACCATGAAGGCAAAGACTCAAATGCCACAGGTTGGTGGAAGCATATTTGCGAGATTCTTTTCATAACAAAGAAAGTGACTTAACAGGGTTGTTTTTTTTGTTGTTTTTTTTTTCACAGATTATGACTGTATCATATGTTTCGAGACCTGGAAACCAGGGCACTTCAAAGGAATGTTTTTACCATGCCGCCATGACAATTTTTGTTTCCACTGTGCATTCAGTGAAAAAATAAATAAAGTCATATGCCCCCTGTGTCGTATGCCTATCGATACAGTGGACTCTGTTCTGATTTAGAACAGTTATATTGCACTTTCTTTATTTTTTTATGACTATTTGCATTTGTTTCTATAATTGTATTGTATTTTCTTGGTACTTTCATTCTTTGATTTACTTAACTTTTAGGCATGGTTTGAGTTAAAATGCCTTTTATTTATATTTTACTGCTACCAAGTTTGCTTTATTGGTATTTTGATTCTTTGATTTAGTGATTCAAATATCAAAAAATTTTAAAGCATGAGTAAAACTCTGTTTCAAGTATTTTAATAAGTACGTATTCTGTCTGGACCCAAGGTTCCTACCAAGGCAAGTTGTTTTTTGTTTTCTTTCATTTGCATTTGTCATGTAACAGGTTTTTTGAAACCAACTGTAGAGATATTGGTTTTGCAAAAGAGAAATCTATAATTGTTTATTTACCACAGAAGCAATCGCCAACGCGGGTGCAGTGCGGGTGTCAAAACGTTTAAAAGTGTCTGAGATGTACCGCATTCTACACGAGAAGTGCACAGCGACCAAAGGCTCGGCTGATTTCCAATCCAGAGGCTCGCTGTGCTCTTCGCTCCCACTCCTGGCTTCGTCTACAGTCCATGCCGTCTATCAGGCGGCTCCCCGCGGTTGCGCTTGTGACCAGTTGTGGTTTAGAGCCGTTGCGCATGCGAACCGTTGCGGTTATGACCCGTTGCGCTTCCGAGCCATTGCGCTTGCGAGCCGTTGCGTTTGCGAGCCGTTGCGGTTGCGATCGGTTGCGTTTGTGAGCCCCTCCGAATTTCGTTTAACGCTGTTTCAAGTATTTTAATGACTGTTCTGGTCTCGACCCTTGTTTCTAGGCAAGACTTTAGAATGAAACAATGTTCTAAGCCTCAGCAATGAGCAATAATAAATGTTTAAGCTTTAGCTTTGTTCTCTTCTTTACTCTACTTAACCCTCCTCTCCACTCTGAGTATGGTAGTTTCAATCTAGTAGCAAGTTGGTTGATGCTAAATAAGATCCCTGGTGTAGGGCTTAAACATTGCAATGATCACCAACCTTTGACAACGGGCATTTGTAGGGTAATAATGGGCAAGAAGAAAATTTTAGGTAGGAGTGTTTCATCTTCAGTAAATCAGTAAAATATTAGGTGTATAATAAGTTTTATTTTAGAAGACAACTTCAACAATTTCTTGGTACAGGGCGTAGAACAAATACTGAGTAAACAGAAGATACAAATAAGGGGACGGCTTTTCCCTAACAAGGATTATTTAAGGAACACAATTATCAAACTGAAACACACATCACAATTTTCCTGTTTTCAACAGGGATAGAAATGGGAATGAAATTATGTTTTGTTTTCCCCGCTGTTGGGGAGCTAGATGTAATGATCCACTTTTTAGACCGACAATCAGTAGAACATGAAAGACACTATCTAAACTTATCATAGGGTTGTCCTCCATAATAGTTGCTTTTTCCAGGACTTGTGGCCACTAGCTCTTTAAAGGAAATTACAGGAAAGTGGCAATAGTTTAACATGTTCAAAGAAAGTGGCCACAGGGAAGTAGTTATATACAGTACGGATACTGTAAATAAACACCAAAATGTTATTTGCAGTATGCAATACTGTACATAAATATCATAATGTTATTTGCAGTATGAACTCAATTTTCATCATACTGTAAATAAATAGTCAAAACGTTATTTACAGTATGCACTTGAAAATTTATTTTAAGTCTCGTAGTTTATCCCCCCCCCCCCCTCGCCCCCTCCGCACCATACACGCTGCACGCTGCCTAGAAGACCTCGAAGCAACTACTACTGGAATTGATGCTAGGGGTGTAAAAATGTTAAGTTAGATGCTTCAGTTGCTGTTTAGACAGTCCCCTCCCTTAAGACTGTCTCTACCAGAAGGCAAAGTCAGACTCCACCGCTGCCCCCCCCCTTCTTTCCCCCCCCCCCCCCTCATAGCACAGAGAGGGCGGCCTGGCGTGTGTCGGTGGGTATGTATGGACGATGGGGTTTTCGAAAAACTGGATTATTTGAATCATTATTCAGCTCTATGCAATATTCACCTTCCATAAACACGTTAACGCCGAGCTGACCACATTGTGGTCATGGCCAAATATCCCACCCGACGAACTGTCCTCAATGTGGGCATTTTTTATTCAATGCTCAAGGATTGTTAGAAAATTGGGGAACTGGCCTAGAGGGCTAGTTCCTTCGGAGTTTAGTAGAAGAAACCTGCCAGAATTCCAGGTTACAGGTCAGGCGACTTGGTTCATAATACATCCAAATTTGTTATCAGAAATAATTCAACTTGAAAAACAGTTAGTTGTTTGTAGAATAGTAGAGTTTCACGACTGTAAATGTTGTTCTGGGATGAAAGTGGGAACATTTTAGGTGTTACACTGCACTGATAACAGTATTCCTTCTTTCGACCACCAAGTAGGTGTAGGTGGGATGGTAAAAACAAAAAGAGGATGCAAAGAAAAATTGACGTAACTTCAGTGTTTAATGACTGACATTTAAAAGCATAACACCAGTAGAAATAGAAATGTACATCTTTGAGAAAATCACTAAAACGCACAACACGAATACAATTGAAATACTACATGCTACAAGATTGAGAGCACACAGACTGTACCTTAAAGAGTACTAAAAATTGACGTAACTTCAGTGTTTAATGATAAACATTTTAAAGCACAACACCAGTAGAAATTAAATACTAAATACTAAGGGCTTCAAGCTAGACAGCACACTCACTACACATCCAAGTGTGCTACATCTTTTTTTTTTAATTAAAATAAATCACATTGTCCTTACTTTAGTATTTGGATAAAAAACATAAAAAAGCACAAGTTTGAAGCGTAAGGTAAAATAATAAAAATGAGTAAGGATTATGACTTCCTAAGGAGTAAAAGTTTTCTTCTTCTTCAATAGGCGACCGGCTCTTGAAACCTTTCTAGGAGTTCCATTATTGGCTGTAATGAGCATCATTGAATATTAGAACAATAGTAAGTAATTGCAGCAAGAAAAATGCAGAAACTTTTAGCAAAATTACCAGGTTGGGATGAAAAAAGCAGCCTTTTTACAGGCGCCTTCTTACGAGTAGCACCTGAATTAAAGAATTAGAGCAAGCAATCAGAAATGTTTTCAGCAACAAAAGTGAAACAGTGTAGCAATGAAGATTCTTACTGGAGCAACTGCGGCACACCCTATCCTGCTCTTGACTGCCCGTTGTGGAGCAGGGAAAAATGGCATGGACCACCTTCTGGCAGGTCACACAGGTGTGCTGCCCTGCTTCCATACCGCAGCTGCAGCATCGTTGCACCTGTTCCGTCAGACCTACGGAAGTATAAAGATTTCTGTTGGTAATGCTATGGATACCTTTCAGAATACCTTAAACTAATGCAAATGCAAACTAAAAAACAAATCAGTATTAAATCAGAAAAAATATGAAAAATTAGAAAACAATAGTTATAACAGGATGTAAAAGATGTGCTCTGTGGAACACAGATACATAGTCATTCCACAACCAGTATCAGAGGAAAACATTATGAACACAAGACAATATTGAAATCAGGCAAACAATAATAAGATATCAAAGTAAAGAGGTGCAAGAAGAAGAAATCAACAAAATCCATAGAATAGGCTGCCATAAAGTGCATCTTATGGTGATGTCTTCTTACTCACTCATAGTAAAGCCCCTAAAAGGGCTGTTTGGCTTAGCCCCCAAAAGGGCTGTTTGGCTTTAGCCCCCAAAAGGGCTGTTTGGCTTTAGCCCCCAAATGGGGCTGTTTCAGTCCTTAAAAGGACTATCCACTTCTTTTAAGATTACACCAGTCAAGTTGCAAGCAAACCATATTTATTTTTTTCAACACTCTGATACCTTGCTTGGTAACTAAAAACAGAAAGTAAATTGATATGGAAAATATGATGAACTTGCAACCATAATTGGTGTGATCTTATAATTATGGCAACTGTAAAAGGGAAATTTATCATAAATCATATGTAGCTGATAGAAAGGGAACAATGAAACTTCTTACTACATATTACATGACAAGGCTTTTTCAATTTTCTAAAAGTAATAGTTACATTTTGAGAGCGTTGATAGAGAATTGCCTGTGGATTGCGGACTTGAAATGTCTTTGAGACCTTTCGAGGCCCAAAACATTGAATCACATTTCTTCGTTTTGTTCCTGTTACAGCTGTAATAAAAGTCACCCTTCCTTGATGGACTTTTAGGATTCTTAGCAATGTGCCTGACAATGACATAAAAAAAATTAGATATAATGGTTCGAAGGTATGTAGAAAAAATCAATGAAGTCTTAACTTACAGGCGCATCAGGAGATTACAGCCAAAGCAAAAGTACGGTGGGCCTTTTTTTTTCTGCCCTGCTACTCTAAAACAACCGTAGTACTCTTCAAAGGAGTAATCTGAAACAATAAAGTATTTTAAAGTACTGTACCTCTTTACAAGAAAAAAATGCAAGTCAAATGATGTGAGATGCGTACCACAGCAGTGATTGCACATGTTGTCCAGAGAGCAGGGAAGGGTGCCATGCATTAACTCTTTACAAACAATACACTTAATCTGTTCTGCTGATGTTTTGTTACAGATGTGACAAAGCAAAATGGGTTGTTCACCTGGAAAATAATACAAAAATGACTAAAGAACAAAAAAAAAAAAAAAAAAATGGATTCTTGAACTGTAAATAAAATATTTCCACAGGAAATGGTTTGCAACAGATTCCTCCTTACTTTGAGTAGCTGCCTCCTCTGTCTCACTTTCTGAGTCGCTTAAATCAATGATAAGTCCCTCTTCAATAGGAAGCTTAGCCAAGAGAGGTTTTACATCATTATAGGAACCTACATAAAATGCAGATAATACAAGAATAATTTCAGCGTCAACATAGACATTAACACCATACCAAGCATTCTCCAAAAAGTGAGAATCTTTTACCTTCCTCCATGAAAGGTGTATCCTCTAAGTCGTTTTCAGAGTCACTTAGGGTAATAATAAGTCCGTCTTCAACAGGAAGCTGAGCCTTAAGAGGCTTTACATCATTACAGGAACCTACATAAAATGTGGACAATAAAAACGTAATTTCAGCATCGACAGACATTAATACCACAACAAGCATCCTTCAGAAAGTGAAAAAATTATACCTTCATCATAATCATCATTTAAATGTGAGTCCTCATTGCCGGGCAGCAGCTCATTATTGACAGCAAATACTTTGTGGATGTGTTTGCATGGGTATCTACGAATGGTGAAGTCCATACAGTCACATTCAAAGCAATGACTGCAGAGTGCCTCACACAGACAAGTACTGCCTATGTCCTTTACTTGTCTTACAATGTAAACGTTTGTACCATTTTGAGATTTTACTTCCCACAAAGTCGCTGACAGCTGCTTCACATCTGCATCTTTGATGGTGTCAGCACTGGTTTTCCTTTTCTCCTCACAGTCTGACCACGCCTTTACTGTATCCTTCTTCTGCTTTTCTATGTAAGCAAAAAAAAATATTATGCTACTTAAAGTAAAGCGCAATGGAGGAGAATGTCACTAAAACTCTGTACATACTCTTAAAAGTTCTTTGATGTGATGACTTGGGCTGTCCTTTGACTACAATTTTTGGAGGTAGTGATAGAGATGGCCTCTCTTCAGAATTTACACCCACATTGTGTACTGTGATTCCTTGAAATTTGAGAGAAAGGAAAGTGATATAAGAAGACATAAAAATATTCAACATCAAATGGGAACTTAAGTATATATCAGAGGAGTCAACTAGCAAACCTTTTCTTGTATCAGAACTGTATTTACTAATATCTTGATGATTGGAGCTCTCAACCATTTGAAACAAACAAGGCACTTGGGGCAGTGTCTTTGGACATCTATAGCAAACACGGCCTCTGTTTGCTCCATATTTAGCAACGTATCTGAAAATTATCAAGTTTAGAGTATAAAAGATCTTACTAGTATGCCATAGGCAATTGATACAACTACTCCATTAATGGATTGTAAAACTAATGCAACAGACACAGACAGAGAAGAGGCTACTCACCGAAGTGCTTCCAAATTACATCTACAATTGACAGTAGGCTTTGCAGTAATGTCAATCTCTACAGAAAAACAGACAATTTATAGGAAACAATGCACTAGAAAAACTGACTTGCAAAAGAGTAAGCTTAATTAATTACCTGGGTGGGGAACAATTACAGAGGGCCTTGTGGGAGAAACACCCGACTCAGCAGATACAGCGTCAGATGCTGTTACAGTGGACTGCTCAGCTGTGACAGAGTGATGGACAGAAACAGCTCCTCGAGCAAGCGGCATCACAACCACTTCTTGATTATTCTCCCACATAGAGACGATATCTTCTATGATTTTACGCCTTTCTGAAAACTGTTGTCCACCAGTAACTGAGGCCACTCCACCAGCCCTCTCACAGACTTTGAGAAAGTCTGTGTACCGCTCTCGACTGTTTAGTTTTCGGCCTCCTACTTTCAGGGGATTTGGAGGTTTAAATACTGGAGGTGGAGGTTCGAGATTGTCAGCTTCAAGGTCATCCATCAGTTCTTCATTTGCATTTGCAACTGAGTTCTCACTCAGCTGAGCTCCTACCACCCGCCACTTTGAATCAATATCATCAATTGAAAATAAAGGCACATCTGTGAGGAAAACACCATGAACACAAATAAATAAAAATGATGCTTGTTAGAGGGGTAAATTTGAACACAACGTTTAAGAGGGAAGACTTACCTTGCATTCGCCTGCTAAAGAAGATATGTACACAAGGGAAACTGTAGGATTTGAAAAATGTGCACACACACTTTTTGGAATCTAATGCATAATTAGCAGGAAGCGCATCAATTTTTAAGCTGAGCTCATACTGTTTCCGGATCTGTGATGAAACATATGGAGTGCTTGTTCTAGTAATTTCTGCCACAGTTGGATCAGAGTTGTTAAGGACATAGTGGACCTTTGCCACATTTGTAAACTCTAGATAAAGTGATGTGTTGATGCTGTTTTCATGGAATACTCGTAGTTTACTGAACATGTCCGCAATAGTTCTCTTGCGATTCAATAATTTCTTCAGCTTGCCATGCCATGACTCATTATGATTAGTGGTAGTGACACCCTTCGTAATAAAGTCAAGTCGTTCATAACCCTTCCAGTAGCAAACTGCAGAGGAGTGCCAATTGTTGTCAAAATATGTTTTAAAACCTTCACTTGCAACTTGACATACTTTGACATAATAGGCATTGTACTCATTCTGAGTCTCACAGAAAAGCATTCCCTTCAGGTACTTCCTCAATTTTTCCTTAGACTCTTCTGCTGTGGTATTTTCATTGAAGATGTTCACACAGTGAAACCGACAGAGAATTATGGCAACATTTGGCATTACTTCCCTAATGCGGAAGATTTCATTCATAGACTTGTCTACAAAAACTGTTTTAGTTCTATGGATGTCACTTGAGTAACAAGCTGAAAATTCAGAGAAGGCTTCATGTAAGATTTCTTTTTTCTCAGAACGAAGAAGGATGTAGGCAACAACCTTGCCATGACCGTTTCTGTCATGGCACATAAAAATGCCAAGAGGCATTTTAGAATTATTGTCGTTGTAAGTGTTGTCCATTCCTACAACTTCAGGGTATTGCTTGTAATCTGCTTGCATTTGAGAAGAAGCCCAAAATATATACAAAATCTTGCCCTCTTTTTCCGCAATACAGAGTTTGGAGTTAGGATCATTCTTCTTCATATCCTCAAGTTCTTCCAACATTCTCTGTACATCACTAGCATTTGTGTTGGTGCTTGATGCTTTGTCATTGCCTTTAGTCATCCTTCGACTGGATGAGGAAGTAAATAGCATTAAAACCGAAAGTCTAACACTCAAACTAATGGCAATCATTAAAAAATCCAAAACATACCTCAGATTCCGAAGATCTTGTAGGGTAGTAAATTTTTGAGTGCTTGTTCGTACAATGGACTGTAACAAGGCCGGTTGCACCTCCATGTTCACAAGGTTCATGACACTTTCTGCTTCACTGGACGTGAGCTGCCTGCCTTCCGGGTACAGTGGTGCCAAGTCAGGATCACAAATGTGATTGTGCTCAGCGGTTATACACGTGATTTCAAGTTTGTTACAATCCAAATCAGCACACACTCTAATTCTTGATGGGCACTTCATTTTGAAGGAGCTACAAAAAAACAGAAATGTCAGTAATAGACCGTAGAAAGTGTTCAACTTTGACTCAATAAACATGAAGTACCTTTGGTTAGGCCGAATACCCAAGCCTTTCTCCCTTCGACTGCCATAGTGCTTGCAGGCATATGTGAAGCTCTGGTATTTAAGTGCAGGAGGAAGTTGATGCCCACTGTTCTCAAAGAATTTTTCTACTTTGAGAGAGCAATATATGCCATACGGGACACATTGCTGTTCAGCAAACTTTTCGAGCAATGGCTCAAGCTCGGCAAAGGAGCCAAATTTGGCTCCCTTCTTTAACATTGTACACTAACCTAGAAAGAAAACGTGATTACATAACAAACATTAGACGAAGTTTACACTCAAAGATAAAAACCATTATTTTATAGGAGGAAAACAAAGTCCGACCCTTCGATACAAGAAAACTAATGCGGTTTTGATTAAATGGTAAAAGTCGACATAACCAATAGGTGCGGAACAGCTCCGTTGCATTTGGTGTTTCCCAAGTTTATTAATTCTGACATTAACTAAAACTGAATTATTTAAAAAAACTTACCTTTCCAAATTTACACAGAACAATACACATAATTAACACTAGCTAAATTAACACACCTTTTATCGGTTTTTCTTCAACTTGTAACAGATAGTAGCCGGCGCCGTCAGTCCACTCTTTAGCCGCCAAAAATGTATAGGTGTATTCCTATTGACTAGCTCGGTCGGTCGGTGGTCGGTACGGTCAGGTGGCTACAATTTGCGACACCACCTTGCTGCTACAACTATAATAAACAGAAGCTAGCTGGTTATAATTTGAAATATGTGATGAAAAAATTGCCGGGTTGTGTAAATTTAGCTAGTACCTCCGTTTCATCTCCTAAAATGGAGATAGTTGCGTTCGTACTGCAAATAATGGTTATGAGCTTGGACACAGTATATACTTGATATAAAGAAATCTGCACTAATTTGCAGTATAATACAGTCGGGGTCCCATACTGCATATAAGTTTCAGAGACTTTGTGTGCAGTACGCTTAATACTGTAAATAATGCTGAGAGGGATAGATACAGTACATACTTCTAATAACTATGTCCGTGGCCACAGCCCCTACATGAAATAAATATTGCAGAATATCATATGATGCGTTTAAGCAGGCTCAGCCTCTTCTACTCT